GGGCAGCGCTGGTGCCCAAACGGGCCCATCCCCGCGCTCCGGGGAGACTCCTTTGCCTGCCTAAGCTGTTGGGATTCCCCGGGCATGCACCGGAGGCTGCAGAGAGCTTTCCTGAGGGCTCCTGTGTGCTTGGCGTGGCCATGGGCAAGAGGCCCTTTCCAGGGATGGAAACGGGACTGAATTCAGGTAATGGCTGCATGAGAGGGCATCGTGGTCACCCGCCGGCCTCCTCTGGGGCTAGAGACACCCGGCTCTGCTTCGTTCACTCCCGTGTGCTCAGACACAGCCGTGTCGTGGTTCCTGTGACGCAGGAGCTGGCAGCCGTTGGAACGCCCTGGGCTCCAGCAGCTTTCAGGACGTGGCACAGAGGTCAACCCGAGCATCCAAAGATTGGGTCAACCCCCATTCCCTGATGGGGGTTGTGAGGTGAACTGGATCTCGTTTCTGTGCCGCGTGTGTGAGCTCCAGCCCCGGCTCTGCTGCTGCCCAGACGGGTGCAAGGGGAACCGAGGGAGGCCCTGTCCGTGCGGGGCTGCTGCCGGCTCTGCCCTGGGAATGCTGCCCTGTGCTCTTCCAGCCAGGCTGCCGCATCGGCCAGCGACTCAGCGTTCCGGAGCCGGCCTCCAGGCACCCGCAGTGCTCGGGCACCCCACTTCCACCATGGTGGGAGTGCTCAGAACCTCATCCCACCTGCTGCTGGTGGCGTTTGGGGTCGAGAGCGCTCCCTCCACCAGACACTGCTTAACCATGCTGACTGGGACGCCGGGCAACAAAGGCTACACCGCAGCGGTGTGGTTCTTTGATCCCTGTGTTCCCTGGACCTGCCCAAGCTGGAAAGAAAATGTTTCCGTAGGGTCCGGAACAGAGTCTGACAGTGATGAATCCGTACCAGAGCTCGAAGAGCAAGACTCCACACAGGCCACCACACAGCAGGCACAGGTAGGAGAGGTGGCACGCGCCGGCCACGTCCCTGCACCCAGCAGTGGCGGAGCAGGATCCCTGCTGATGCTGTCCACCACCACCACCTCAGGATTCTCATGGGTCTTTCGTTTTCTCTCCTTCCAGCTTGCAGCAGCAGCTGAAATAGATGAAGAACCCGTTAGCAAAGCAAAACAGAGCCGGAGTGAAAAGAAAGCACGGAAGGTGAGTGGGAACAACCTGCCGTGGACAGCTGAGCTTTGCTTCAGGATCTGGCCCGGTACCCCCGAGTGCTGGAGTCTTCATCCTGTGAACCCCACTCAGGGTTGCAGCTCCTCAGCGCCCGGCTGTTGGGGGAGCTGGGAGAGGTGTGTGCGACCTTCTGCCGTCATCAAGGCCCTAGGCAGGGCGATGCCGCCTTCACGGGCAAAAGCCTTGTGTCTGGAGGAGCTCAGCGTTGTGCCGTGGATCTCGCCAGTCCTGGGCTGAGCGCGTTCGCTCCCAGGCTCCAGCGCAGCGTCCGGCTGAGAGCCCGGGAATGCTTCTCTGCAGCAGTAAAATGCACGTGTTCGCGTGCGTGGGCACCGATCGTTGGACAGGGTCTCTGGGGAGCAGATGAGTGGGCGCATTTTTTCATGGGCCAGGCTGTCTCAGTAACTCATCTTTCCCTCACCTTTTTCCGGTGTTTTCCAGGCAATGTCAAAACTGGGCCTTCGCCAGGTGACGGGAGTGACCAGAGTCACCATCCGGAAATCTAAGAACATCCTCTTTGTCATCACAAAGCCAGACGTGTACAAGAGTCCAGCATCAGACACCTATATAGTCTTTGGCGAAGCAAAGGTGAGCTGACTGCGCGGCGTCTGGCAGCCACGTTAGTCCGTGCTGGCGGCAGCG